GGAGGGGGAGAGGAAGGTATGGGGGGGGCGCTACCTTCCGGGTCCTTTCACTAAGTTGGATTCTGGATTCTAGACTCGCCTATGCCCCCCTCCTTGCCTCCATGCCTCCTGGGCTTGCTTCCACCCGCAGGTGGCCCTGCAGCACTGCGCCACCGATGAAACAACTGGGGAGGGAGGTGAGGACTCAGAAGCCAGTGTCCACGAAGGTCACACTCTCAGGTTGGCAGCCCGCTCTTGGAGACTCATCCTAGGCATTCAGAAAGCACTTTGGGCCTGTTCAGGGACCCCAAAGAAGACATAAGGTAGGAACCACGGATTCGCAGGGAATGCAGGGAATGGTGAGGACTTCCCGACATCTGGCCCTGGGACTCTGAAAGAGAGAGGCGTGGTGGGAGGGGCCCCAGGGGCTGCACAGTGTCCCACACTCTGGGAGATTGCGGAACGCAAAGGGATGTGCGGGAAAGAAGGATGTGTGAGTACTTAGGAAGTATACGGACGCAAGGCACGTTAGATGAAGGTGACAGGAGCTGATGATTGAGATCAACCGGGCAATTGGATCTCAGGAAGTGCACACTAGGGATGGAGGATGCAGACATACGCACTACGAGGTGAATGCAAGTGGCTAAGCACGGGAAAGGAAGGATGCATAGCCAGGACAGCGGCTCACCTTGCTCAAGGTGGGTTCGCACGGCCCTCAGCTGACTCTCAGTACCGATATCACCGATCACGATGAGCAAAGAGTATTTCCGCTGGTCCCAGCGTGCCGTCGCCACCTCGGCTCCAACCTTGCACAGCAGCTCCGCGGGGTTCTGAGCCAGCGGAGCGTCGGGGCTCAGCAGCCCAAGCCCGGGAGTTGTCTCCATGACAACGCCGTGAGGCAGCCCAGGCCTAGCCTCGGTCTCCATGGAAACTCCGAGTGAGTGCTATGCCAGCTACATCCGCAGCAGGGAGAGTGCGCGCGGTTCTTAAAGGCCAGCGGCCGAAGTCGCTCATTGGCTGCTGCCTGTCAGGGGGTGGAGCACAGGCGCCGCAGGGGCGGGACTAGGGGGCCGGGACGCTTTGGTTCTGCGGTCTCTCCCGGCTCGCGGATACGGTGATGGTCACTGTCCCCTTCAGCCTCCGCTCCTTGTCCTGAGGGAGCTCCCACTCCGACTTGGGTAGGGGTGGACACTCTGAGGGGCCGAGTGGAAGGGCGAGGCGATTGCTTCGGCTCCGTAAGAAGCACCTAGTTCGATGTTTTCCCAATAAGTCTCGCCTGAACTGAGGGGAGCCATCTTGTCCATCTCTGTTTCCCAAGTTTGTATCGTTGTCATCTCCATCTCTTTTTCTACCTCTTTTACTTTTAATTAAAAAAAAATTTTTTTTTTTTTCTCACTGCTTGCCAAGGTCCTGGACTAAATCCTCCCTGTCGTCCTTGCCCTAGGTCTTCGGAGTGCTCAGCATAGCTGCGCAGTATTGGAGGGGACAGAGTGACCTTCCAGCCCTATAAGCCTTCCCTAGTGAGTTGTTTTTCTGAAGGAAGTGGTTGGCTAGTCTCCATCTCTGCCGAGTGCAAGATTCTATTGCAATGAGCTCAGACTGCAGCAAGGAGGAATTTGACTAAAACCCAGGAAATACCTTCCAAACTCAAGAGTGATGTGACTCAGTGGGTAACGTGGAGAGACTGGTTTTACTTCCCTTGGGAAATTCTCAAAACAGGAGGGGCAATGTTTGAAGCAGAGAAAAGGGTGGCCATTCTAAAACCAAAGGACCAGGGGATAGGAAAGAGGAGTGAGGAGCTCTGAAACATCCTTGTAATAATGGTGCTGTTCCTCAGTGTCCTCACACACACACACACCCACCCTGCACTACAACAGCTTATCTTACCCAGGATGTTGAATCATTCTGTATATGTATGTGTCAGACAGAGGGCCTGTCTTTCATCCTAGGGCTCCAGCAATTTTTCTCTCCCCATTTGCTTTATACTAGAGATGATACTGGGTAGAAAGGAGCATAGTACCTGATTCAGCAAAACTGCCTTTGAACCACATTCTCATCTATCTCCTCCCTGGAACCTCTGAGGAGGGTTGGGTAGTGTCTGTCTGTTAGGAATATCACAGCGTGTTTCTCTGTCATGGAGCGTATGTCACAGCAAAACAGCCAGTCCACTCTGCAACCAATTTGGACTTAGCCCTGAGAATCTGTTTTTTAGTACAACGAGGGAAATAAGAGCCCTAGCAGAACCTCAAATGGTAGAGGCGCTTCACCTTATATGACGACATTGAGACAATGTGCCACTACACCTCCACTTGCCACCATTGTGGATCTGAATCTGAAAAAGAGCATGGAGAGATGTATAGGCCTCCTCTTCTGCAATCAGAAAAGAGTACCACTTGGAAGCAGAGAGTCATAATAGGTTGTAGGGACAGGAAGGGGACAGTTTCCATAGCAACTCCAAGAATGAGGCTCATAACTGGCACAAGGCCTTTGTTTTAGGGTCAGTAGCAATTAACCACAGGCTCTATGCTTTCTTTCATCAAGTCTGACAAAGAGGTTAGAAAATAGATATGAATGGTTTCAGTGAGTCACAGCCATTGAGTTGATTCCAATCATAGTGACCCTACATGACGGAGTAGAACTGCCCTATAGGGTTTCCAAGGCTGTGAATCATGTTGGAAGCAGACAGCCATACTTTATCCTGCCGAGTAGACTGGTGGATTAGAACCTCTGACTTTCCAGTTGGCATGAGAGTGCTTTACCCACTGTGCCAACAGGGTACCTGATCAAGTGGCAGGAGCAGAAATTTAGGCCTATGATCTCAGACCCTGCTAGAATTTAGTCTTATTGATTACAGCTACAAATTCAGATATGATAGTACTAAAATTACATATGTGTGTTATATGAGTGAGTATTCAGCACTTAAATTTTTTTTTTTTTTATCAAAAGCAGACACTTACAGCATAGCTTGACTATGTTGTTGTTAAATGCCTTTTGAGTCAGTTCCGACTCACAGTAACCCTGTATAGTGTTATCAAGGAGTGGCTGGTGAATTTGAACTGCCAACTTTGTGGTTCAAACAACAGGTATCTAGCTGGCTGAACCATGCACTGATGACAGGGACAAGTTTAATGCGTTTTATGGTCAAGTTATTGGGCCCTTCTGGATGATTGTGGTTCAAACAACAGGTATCTAGCTGGCTGAACCATGCACTGATGACAGGGACAAGTTTAATGTGTATTATGGTCAAGTTATTGGGCCCTTCTGGATGATTTTGTACTTGGGTAAAATACCTTGTACATGGGCATTCTGGGACTTAGCTAAGGATAAAAGGGACCTACCAGTCAGTTGAGTAACTTAATGTTAATAAAATAATCTATGACATGACACCATCTAAAGACACCTTCATTTTCTGCAGCTGTCTCTTAGAAGAAGTGAGAAAGCCATAGAAAACTTCTTTAAATGAGATAGCATTGAAGAACACTAAAAGATGTTGGTTGGCTTAATCTTGAATGTTCTGAGGTAACCCTGGGATGTAGGACAAGAAAGTGTGACAGGTTATCTGGAGCTGCTGAGTCAGGTTGCAGACTATAGCAAGAGCACAATGATATTCATTGGTATTGTCATGGTGGATGCTTCTCTTTTATTTTAATCATGAGAGGTAAAATTTTTCCTCAGTGTCTTCAATTTTCTTGTTGGCCCCATGCACTTTCTTCCTGGAAAATTAATAACATTTAGTCACTATGCTCTGGTAGCATAGTGGTTACAAATTGGGCTGTGAACCACAAGGTCAGCAGTTGGAAACTACCAGCTGTTCTGCAGGAGAAAGATGAGGCTTTCTGCTCCCGTAAAGAAACCCTGTACAGGGTCGCTATGAGTCGGAACCGACTCCACAGCACATAACAACAACAACAGTCACTATGAGTAGGAACCAACTCAATGGCACTTAACAGCAACAACCATGGAATAAAGTTGAGAAATGGTTTCTCGGCTTTTTAACTTCACTTCCTTTTGCTGAGAGGCGCCTGGTAGGCCCATGAACAGAGCTTGGGAGACAGAGATCCTAGTCTAACATAGTAACTTGGCTTTTGAGCCATAACAAATCCTTTGACCTTTTTGTTTCTTTTTCTGGTTCTTCCTGGGTAAGATTGAGATATTGGTCTACCAGTAGCTCTGATTTGGCGTGTGCGTTTTCTACTCTGTTCACCCGGTATATCATCTGACCTCCTAAGGTTGTGTTAAAGAAGATTTGATCCTCTTCACATTGCCATTCACCATTCCTTTGTTCTTGTCTACCACCCTGATTATGTGGGTCACGGAACCTGTGGTCTCAGTCACAGTAATCATCCCAGTCACAGCACCTTTGGCATTGGCAACAACTTGGCTTGTTGGCTAATTCAGAATAGGCAGTTTCTCCTCAATCCTGTTTAGTCCTTTCTAGGCATAGGTATTAGCAACCATGATTTGTGACTGTAGCTTCTGGATGATGAACACAGCCCTTTGTCATGGTTGCAGAGGCATGGTCTTCACAGCCTTCTCTGCAGTCTCATGCACAGAGACTTCAAATAAGGTTGCTGATCCTCTTTACTCACTTAGCTGAAGAGACCAGGTCCTAAGTGGAGCGCAGCAAGAGTAGGTTGGCCACTCAGTCACCACATTCAGTTGTAAATCAATTGTAATTGTGCATCCCGTTTTCCTTCCTGAAGAGAGCAGGAGTGATTATGTGGTTTATTAGGTTTATTAGGGCAGTAACAGATTATGATTCAGGACCAGGAACTAATCAAGATACAGTTCTTCACTTAGGACAACGTTTTGACTGTGCTCCCAGGCCTCTTCTAGCTTCTTGGCTTGGCCTTTGCCCTACCTGGGCAAGTGTTACAAAGCTCTTTAATTCCACCAATAGAAGTCCAATGACACCTTGCTTTACCATGAAGCCTCCTGTCTAAACATGGTACATGAGTCAGAACATCCATGGTAACTGCCTTCTCCATGGGTCAGGAAGCCCACTGTGCTTGTCTCAAGTGGTCTGCTGCTTCTCACCATCTCATTCTGTTTCTGGTATTACAGCTTTCTATCTCCTAGATCCAGGAGATACTCAGTGCAGAGAACCCAGGTCCAAAGGATGCCCTCCTCTCCTGGGTCTTCTTCTTGGTGGTAGTGAATACTCCTACCACCGTTTTTACATGGGAAATTGTAATTTTCTCCATTTTTATGTACTCTAGAAACTTAGGTTCAAAGCCTTCCTTTTAACCAGATTACTTTCCTTGAAGTTCCTCTTATGGAAGTCAGTATTTATCACTGAAAGAAAAGATACTAAAGAAGGCAGAATTATAAGCTATCTCCTTAAAGTGTGAATTAGAGTGGGCACAAGACAGAAGACAGTATAAATCCCAACTGGTATGAAAGATAATTGTAGCCATGGCTAAGTTTGAACCAATTAAGGGAGTCTCGACTCTCAGACTTTCATCAGTTCCTGATATATAGTGGTAAGTTTACTCAAATAATACATGAAGCATATGCTTAGATTACTAGCGAAGTGAGAGGGGCATCTCTAACTGTTTTTTGGAAGTAGTGTATTTGGCTTTTAAAATCAGACTCGTTCCTCCTTTACCAAATGAATGTCATTAGTTTTTCTTGGAGTCGAAGCTAGTTTGGAATTCCAGTCTGCTCTGTTGGGTTATATGGGTCTTATCAACCCTGTAAGGGAGTTGCTTGCAGCTCAGATTCCCACTCTGTACTCAGTTCTGTCTATAAAGCATCCTTAACACAGAGAGAAGCATGTTGGGTTACAGGATTGCTGTATCAGAGGTTTATCCTTGGCTTTTGGGGGAAATAGTATGATCATAATATATACTAGCAGCCACAGGGTCACCACTTAGCATGAACA